TTTTTAGCTTTTTATTTTAAATTGTAGTTTTACCACTAAGAAATTGACACTGGGACAGTCCACAGAGCTTACTCAAATTTCATCCATTTTACATGCACTCATTTGTGTCGTGTGTGGTATATAGTTCTATTTCATTTTGTCACTTGTGTATATTGATGTGACACCAACATAAGATACAGAGCTGTTCTGTCATCACAGAGCTCTGTCATACTGTCCCTTTATAGACATTTCCATGTCCGTCCCCCATTTCCAACCCCTGGAAACCACTAATCTGCTCTTCATCTCTATCGTTTTGTTATTTCAAAAATAGTGTGTAAATGGAATCATGAAGTATAACCCTTTGAGAATGGCTTTTCACTCAATTCCCATGAGATACATCCAAGTAGTTGCATGTATCAGTAGCTAGTTCCTCCTTATTGCTACATAGTACTTCACAGTATATATGTACATTGTTTAACCATTCACCTTGAACAGTTTGGTTGTTTCCAATTTTGGGCATTAACAATGAAGCTGATCTAAACAATCACATACAACAGACCCCATTTGTCCTTGAAGAAAATATATCCCAAGACTCCCAGTGGGTGTCTGAAACCATGGATAGTATATACACTATCCATAGGTGCTATATATACTATATATCCTGTACATATTTCTTCCTATACATGGTTGAATTTGGTGAAGTTTAATTAGGCACTGCAAGAGACTGACAACAGTTAAACAGAACAATTATACTGTAATAAAAGTTACATGAATGTGGCCTCAAAATATACTGTACTCATTTTCAGACTGTGGGTAACTGAAACTGCAGAAAGCAAAACTGGCCAGGTGTGGTGGCTCACACCTGTAATCCCAGCACTTTGGGAGGCTGCGGTGGGTGGATCACTTGAGATCAGGAATTCGAGACCAGCCTGGCCATTATGGGGAAACCTCAACTCTACTAAAAATACAAAAATTAGCTGGGCTTGGTGGGGCATGCCTGTAATCCCAGCTACTCGGGAGGCTGAGACAGAAGAATCACTTGAACCCAAGAGGCGAAGTTTGCAGTTAGCTGAGATCATGCCACCGCACTCCAACCTGGGCAACAGAGCAAGACTGGAAAAAAAAAAAAAAGGAAAGCAAAACTGCAGTTAAGGGGGACTACTGTACAGGTTTTTGTGTAAACTTAAGTTTAATTTCCCTGGGACAAATATTCACAATTGCGACTGCTAGGTCATTTGGTGGTTGCATATGTTCTTTAAGAAACTGCCAGGCCGGGCATGGTGGCGCATGCTGTAATCCCAGCACTTTGGGAGGCTGAGGCAGGCGGATCACCAGAGGTTGGGAGTTCAAGACCAGCCTGACCAACATGGAGAAATCCTGTCTTATAAAAAAAAAGTATATATATATAAAGAAACTGCCAAACTTTTCAGAGTGACTGTGCCATTTTACATTCCTATCAGCAATGTATGAGTGATTCACTTCTTGGCATTCTGACCAACCAGCATTTGGTGATGTCACCTTTTTTTTTTAAGGCCAGTCAAGTGGAGCAGTGGGAGTGGAAAAGGAACAAATAAATCTGTAAATGGTTGTGATCAATTTATTGCAGCACCACTGCACTTGGACCAGCCCACTATTTCTTATTTTAGCCATTCTGATAGATGAGTAGTGTTATCTCATTGTGGCTTTAATTTGCATTTTCTAATGGCCAAAGACGTTGAACATCTCTTCATGTGTTTATCTGCCATCTGTACATCTTCAGTGAAATGTCTATCTGGTGTTCATTTTTTAATTGGACTGTTTGTCTTCTTACTGTTGAATTTGAAGACTTCATTATATATTCCAAATATAAAGCCTTTGTCACACAAGTTCTTTGCAAATATTTTCGCCCAGTCCATAGTTTGTCTTTTCATCATCTTCACAGGTACTTTGCAAGAAACAAATTTAAATTTTGATGAAGCCCAATTTACTGGTTTTTGGTATCGTGTCTAAGAACTCATCTTCTAGCCCAAAGATTTTCTCATATATTATTTTCTAAAGGTTTTATACGTTTATGCTTCATATTTAAATCTACAATCCATTTTCCACTTACAGTTCATTTTTGTACAATGTGTAAGGTTTTTTTGGTGGTGGTTTTGCCAGTAGATATCCAATTGCTCCAGCACTGTAACTTGAAAACTATCCCTTCTCTATTGAATTATTTCTGCACTTCTGTCAAAAATCAGATGGCCATAGGCCGGGCGCAGTGGCTCATGCCTGTAATCCCTACACTTTGAGAGGCTGAGGTTGGATGACTGCTTGAGCCCAGGAGTTTGAGATCAGCCTGGGCAACAGAGCCAGATCCTGTATCTACTAAAAAAAAATTGGCCAAGCATGGTGGTGTGTGCCTGTAGTCTCAGCTCCCCAGGAGGCTGAGGTGGAAGGATCATCCGAGCCTGGGAGTTGAGCCTGCAGTGAGCCATGATTGCACCCCTACACACCACCCTGAGTGACAGAGTGAAACCCTGTCTCTTAAAAAAAAAAAAATCAGATGGCCATACATGCTTGTGTGGGGCTAATTTATTTTTTATTATTCCATTTTTGTCTCCTTTGTCGGCTTATTATCTCTACCTCCATTTTCATTTTTTGTTGTTTCTTTTAAAATTTCTAGTGTACATCTTTAGACTTGTCACACTTTTATGTAATATTCTATCACTTCACAGGTAGAACAACTTTGCAACAGCACACACTTTCCTGTCTCTTGGCCTTTGTGCTATTTTTGTCATAAGTTGTATTTACTGTATCTCGAGATCTTTTTTTTTTTTCTTTTGAGATGGAGTCTTGCTCTGCAGTGCAATGGTGCAATCTTGGCTCACCACAACCTCCGCCTCCCGGAGGAGGATTCTCCTGCCTCAGCCTCCCGAGTAGCTGGGATTATAGGCATGCACCATCACACCTAGCTAATTTTATGTTTTTGGTAGAGACAGGGTTTCTCCTTGTTGGTCAGGCTGGTCTTGAACTCCCTACCTTAGGTGATCCACCCGCCTCAGCCTCCCAAAGCGCTGGGATTACAGGCATGAGCCACCACACCCAGCCTTTCTGGAGATCTTGATTTCATACACCAGATTTCCGTTTTCTAAGTTTTCTAAGCCTGCTTAGGTGAGACCAGAGCAGCCATTTAGGGCTAATTTTGCCTCATTAGAGAGGCAGTATATTTGAGTAATTTACTCAGTTCACAGTGATGTTCTACACTATGACTGCGTGGGGTGGGGGGGCCGAACATGGACAACTGCAAGCTCCAGGATTGCTCTGTCTGCACCTTCCTGGGTGGTGGTTCCCTTGGCCTCCAGGAGTGTGTCCACAGGCATGCTGTGGGCTACACGTGCAGGAAACCCTTTGCAGGCCTGTGAACGCTACTCTCTGGTACCCTGCCTTACAAAGTCTAGCTGCCTTGGCCTCTCTGAATTCTCAACTTTGTCTCAACCCAGGGACACCCCTGGGCTATGTAGCCTGGAAACTAACTCTCCCAACATAAGCCAGGCCAGTAGTGTCACTTCATTTGTCTGCTTTCTCTTGCGGACCATTGTGCTACAATGCTTGTTTCCAATTTCTGAACTCTGTTGTCTCCCATTTTGTCCAGACTTTTTAGTTGTTGGTATTGGAAGGATAAATCCACTACCTATGACATCACCACACCCAGGTAACTTCTGTATTTTTTGTAGAGGGTTTCGCCATGTTGCCCAGGCTGGTCTCAAACTCCTGGGCTCACGCAATCCACCCACATTAGTTTCCCAAAGTGCTGGGATTTACAGGCACGAGCCACCGTGCCTGGCCTATGTTTCTAATGCAGAAGCCACCACCGTATGCCATACTTGTGACTCCCATATTTGTTGTAGTAAAAGAGGCTGCAGCACATGACACACTGGCAGCACTAACCCTGCCTGGTGAATGACATCTATCCTTAGACATCCCCACACCAGGGTTGTCGGGAGTCCATCACCATCGTTGACACTTCAGTCCCAGTCCTGTCAGTCAACTCTACACTCCTAGGTAGCTCTTGAATCTACAGTTGACCCTTAAACAATGCAGTAGAAAATCCACATATAACTTTTGACTCCCCCAAAACTTAACTACTAATAGCCTGTTATTGACCTGAAGTCTTACTGATGATATAAACAGTAGATTAACACATATTTTGTATGTTATATGCATTATATACTGTATGCTTGCAACAGTAAATTAGAGAGAATAAAATGTTATTAAGGAAATCATAAGGAAGAGAAAATATACTATTCATTAAGTGGAAGTGGATCATCATAAAGGCCTTCATCCTTGTCCTCTTCACATTGAGTAGGCTGAGGAGGAGGAAGAGGGGTTGGTCTTGTTGTCTCAGAGTGGCAGAGGCAGAAGAAAATCCGAGTATAAGCGAACCAGTACAGTTTAAATCCATGTTGTTCAAGGGTCAACTGTAAACTGTTTTATTTAATGGGCAATCCACACACCCAAGTGGTTATAAGTGGCACTACAAAATGTATTATAAAAATACAGCAGAGGTTTTTTTTTTTTGAAAGAGTAATGCTCTGTCACCCAGGCTGGAGTGCAGTGGTGTGATCTCAGCTCACTACAACCTGCGCAGCAATTCTCGTGCCTCAGCCTCCTGACTAGCTGGAAGTACAGGTGCCTGCCACCACACCTGGCTAATGTTTTGTGGAGATGGGGTTGTATTTTTTTGTAGCCAGGTTGGTCTCGAACTCCTGACCTCGTGATCTGCCCACTTTGGCCTCCCAAAGTGTCAGGATTACAGGCATGAGCCTCTGCACCCAGCTGAGCACAATCTTCACCTTTCATGTACTGATTTGTCTTTGTCTGTAACTCCTGCCCCCCTAGGATGTATAAAACCAAACTAATTCTATTGTCTCAGGCACACTTTCTCAGGACCTCTTGAGCCTGTGTTCCCTAGACCATGGTCACTCATACTAACTCAAAATAAATCTCTTTAAAACATTTTATAGTTTGGTTTTCCCGTTTAAAGGTGGTTGATTTTTCCTAGGTCTTTAATGAGGTGCCTAGAAAGAGGGTTTAAGACAATTGAATTTTTTTTTAAAGAAGATTTCTTGGTTAGATAAGAAAATTTCAGAAACTCCCTCCCTGTGTACCTGTGGGCGACCCCACCCCCACACACGAACAAGACAAGGTTAGACAGACCTTCTGAGGCAGCTTCTAAGGCCCTTTCAGCATGTCAAAATGCATCTTTGGTGTTATCGCTTTTTGAGTACCAACAAGGAAATGGGATGGGTTAAGATTTCATTCTCCCAGTAGAGGAAAATCTAGGGATTTAGTCCACATTTGGAGCGAAAAACAGTTATCTGACTCTTTCCAGAGCTTTGAAATGTTAATTCCTTCCCCTCTTCTCCCATCGAACATACAATTGGAAATTTAAGAAGGAAGAATGGAGGGATCTCAAGATGTAAAGCTTTCTTTACGTGACCATGGCAGAGTCAGATGGCCAGTGCTGGTCCTCGGATGTCAACTGCCAACCAGGGTATGTCAAGGTCACAGCCTCCCGTACAGTTCTCACTTATCCAGAACTCCTGAGGTCCCAAGCTCTGTACCCAACTCTTCACTTGCACTATGCCCTCTATGATGTCACTGTCATCGTCATCATTTTACAACATTGAGACTCCACGTGGTCGTTACTAGTTCACAGTTAAGAAGCTCTTGTTCATCTTCAACTCTGATTAACTGCAAAATGTTCTGCTCATTTTGACTAGAATCTTGAAAGATCTGCAAACTAAACAGCAGGACTGATGCTCAGTTTTGACCATAGGATATCCAGTCTCTTAAGTGGGGAAACTCACGCCCACATCTAACTTAACACTTTTAAAACAGATGAGAAGGGAGGGGGAAATGCTGCTACACTAGGAGGCATGAATTACAAAGAGAGGAAGTCACTGGCTGTTAGTTTCATGGAGTCAGGATTAAACACCATGTCTGTCCTGGCCTATGCTCAGGGTTGGAGGGTAACGTCTGGGTCATTCAGGCTAAGTAAATGGGAGGCCCAAGCCGAGTTAGTTCGGCTCTTGGTTTGACTCCCTATTCCCTCCAGTTCCAAGCGATCGCGTGAAACAGGGTGCCAGGAGGACTATCAGCGTCTGCGCAAGGCCGACGGTGGCAGCACGGCGTTAGGAATCAGGTCCCCTATCCCTGAGCCCAACAGCCGACCGCCACAGCACCCCACCAAAACGGGAACAGCATGTCGAGACGCTGCAGCAACGGCAGCCGCTCACCACCAGCTCCAGTCGGGAGATTTGGAGAGCTTGTGTCTGCTGCTCAATCCCGTGAGGTGCGGCGCGGCTCGGCGGTGCACTCTTTGGTGCCAAGGCCACCACCGTACTTCCCATTGCTTACTTCCGTTGAACCGCGGGCGCTGCCATTGCAAGCCGGAAATAGGGATAAAGCACTTTAGCCAGAAGAGGGAGGAAGTGGTTACTCAGAGCGCCGCCAAGACGAGCCGGAGCCGGAAAAACGGGTAGGGCGCCGCCATGACAGATTAAGCCTAAAGGGAACAGGCTGCCAGTCCAATCGGCTACCGGAAAAAAAAACCAGGCTGGGCCGGGCGCCGCCATGGCAACCGATACCGGAAAAGGCGGGTCGTTCCTTCCGGACTGACCCACACCGGCAAAGGTCTCGAGATGTGAGTAGTGGGAGCACCTCTTCCGTACGTGCTGTCGCGCCCCTTCTTACCCAGTGATCTAGACCTAGTCTGGGACCTCCAGAATTAGGACCAGTCTCCCTGCTTCTTGGAGATCCGACCCTCAAGATTCAGCGCCTTCCCTCACAAGCTCCAACCCTCCGCATGCCCAAGCCCCACCTCCTAAGCGTTTAGGCCCTGCCCCCTCTCGCAGCGGCTTAGGACTTAGGTCCAGTCACTCTTCACCCAAACTCTGCCCCCAGTACCCCAGGTCCGGCCCTTCACACCGAAATCCTAAGACTACAGACTTACTTAGGGACCTCTAGGGTTCCTACGCCTGTCCTCAGAGCTCCAGGTTCCTCCCTCTTGATCACCAAACTTTACCTTTTGAACCTTCCAGATCTGCCCAGGACCCTAGTCCTCACCTGTAGGGTCCACAGACTTGTTCCTAGACCCCTCTGACCTTGCCCAGGATTCCCAGAGCACCAACCTCATCCAGGGCTTCCAGACCTCACGCCTCTGGGGCCTTGAGTCCTACTCCAGGGCCTCAGGTTTCATCTTAAAGAGCCTTTGGCTAAGACACTTTCCTAGGACCTGAGACCCACCTCTTGGACCTCTAAACCTTACTTTTAGAACCCCCCAAACCCATTTAGGGGTCTCAAGCTCTCACTTTAGAATTCTAGATCTTATTTCTAAGGCCCCAAGTCTTCTCTGCATGATCCCTAGGCCTACTGGGGGATGCCTGGATTTCAAGGCCTGTCTTCTAGGACCCTGAAGGCATTGAAAGCTCTCCTCCTGCTTTACAAGCCCCAGCGCTAGGCCTCACCTGTGCACTTCTTTGGCCCTATCTCAGGATCCTTCAGACTCCCACATCTGCCCCGGATACCTAGTCCTACTTCAGACCCAGATTGGAACTACTGCCTTTCTTTGCCAGGCACCATAGTTCATGCCTGTAATCCCAACACTTTGGGAGGTCTAAGTGGGAAGATCGCTTGAGTCCAGGGGTTCGATACCAGCCTGGGAACATAGCAAGACCCTGCCTCTATAAAACATAAAAAATTATCTGGGCATGGTCGCTCATGCCTGTGGTCCCAGCTACTTAGGATGTTGAGGCAGGAAGATCACTTGAATCCAGGTGTTGGAGGCTACAGTGAGCTATGATCATGCCACTGCACTCCAGCCTGGGCCACACTGTGACACCCCTGTCTCTAAAAGAAAAAAAAATTTCCTTTCTTGCCTGCTGCCAGGAATGATCCTCACCCCCTCCTGTCCCACAGGCAGGCAGCCCTGGAGATCTCTGCTCGCTACTGCGGCCGGGAGCTGGAGCACTATAGCCAGTGTGTGGCCGCCAAGCCTGAATCCTGGCAGCGGGACTGTCACTACCTTAAGATGAGCATTGCCCAATGCACGTCCGCCCAGTGAGTGTGGGCAAGTATGAAACAGTGTGGAGGGTGGGCAGTGGGGTGGGAATCTCCCAGGGTCCAAACTGCCCTACCCCCACAGCCCAATCATCCGTCAGATCCGCCAGTCCTGTGCTCAGCCTTTCGAGGCCTTTGAGGAGTGTCTTCGGCAGAACGAGGCAGCTATGGGCAACTGTGCGGAGCATATGCGCCGCTTCCTGCAGTGCGCTGACCAGGTGCAGCTGCCACGCTCACCTACGACCGTGGAGGTAAGAGGGGCTCACCTCAGTTCATCTCATTTCTCCATAACATCCCCTTCATCCTCCTGGTTGTTCTGGGTAAAGACTTTGGAGTCATCCTCAGCCCTACCCCACTACACAGGCCTTTGCCAGGCATCCAGGATCCAAAACATCATCACTTCTTGCCCCCTATAGCCCCTGCTTTGGTCTACCACCCCCTCACCCTCCACCTCCAGGATACCTGCCCCAGCCTTCTCCCTGGTCTCCTTTCATCCCTCTTCTCTTGCCTGGATGGGCACATAGAACTGAAATCTAGTCTCTTTACACCTATGCTTAAAGCTCTTCAGTGGCTTTGCATCACATCGAGAACAAATTTCAGGTCCTTGCTGGGTTCTCTGTGTTCTTCCCTCGGCTGACTTCATCGACCTCCTCCTTCACCCTCTCTCCTTTCTCACTACTCCTCAGCTGCACTGGAGAGGGGCTGGGCTGGGGTGGCCAAAAAAAGCTCTCTCTTTTACATGTATTTAGTATGTAAACCAGATATGCAGTATCTGTGATATGTAAGTCATGGTTGGGCAATTAGAACAAAAGTCTAAAAAGACTCCTTGGGGAGAGGCAGTAATGGAAAAAGGTTGAGAAATGCTCTTTTAGATGTTTACTGCCCACCTCACTGTGAGCTCCAAAGGTGAAAGTCACATCTTTCCCCAGCCCCTCTCAACACCCTCTCCTGGGGCCCTCTCTCTGCCCCTGCAGCCCTGTTTTCTCTCTTGGGCCACCTGGCCATCCTTTTCCTAGGTCCCATGTTCCATCTTGACCTTCCATTTATTCTTGGTGATCATCCGAGACTGATCTCAGAGAAATCTGACCATGTTCTGCTTCTATTTAGAAACCTTTCCATGGCGCTCACTTCCACCAGACCAAGTCTCAACGCCAGCGCAGGCCACAGGGCCCTGTAGAATGCAGCTCCTGTGACCCATGGCCCCACCTCCCCCCACTTTCCCTCTTAAACTCTGTGTTCCAGCCCCAGTGAACATGCAGTTACTCAAGTGCATGTCTGCTGCTTTTGTCTAGCTGTTTTCCTCTGCCTGCACTGCCCTTCCTAATCCATCTCCTGGCTAATTCCTATTCCAGCTTAGATGGCAGCTGTCTCAGAAGACCTCCCTGATGTCCCCACCCACTGCCCGCCCCTGTCTTCGAGTTCCCAAGGGTCTGAGCCCCTCCATCAAAGCTTACATCCTATACCTGTGTCAGGGGAGCTCTCAGACGAAGATTGGGGTGATGTCCTTCATACCAGGCCCTATAGGCATTCATTCATTTTTGTAAGGCAGGGATAAGTGAATAGTTCAGACCCCAAGGGCAGAAACTACAACCCATGAGAGCCGGCGGGAACTTAATTCTCCTCAGGAAACATTTCCTAATAATCACATACTGTTCTCAGTCAGCTGTTGAGGACATTTCTCTCTTTCAAGTTTTTTGGGCATCTGAACAGTAAAGACCCCATCCTTTTATCTTAGAGCTATTTGCTGCTTTCCTCTCTGGACTAGCAACCAGCCTCTCCCTGGTCTCCCTATGGCCAACCCTGCCCTGACAGTCTTTTCTTCCCTGGCAGCCAAAGGAGCTTTTAAAAATGGGGATTAGGTCTAGGTGCGGTGGCTCATGCCTGTAATCCCAGCACTTTGGGAGGCTGAGTTGGGTGGATGACCTGAGATCAGGAGTTCGATACCGGCCTGGCCAACATGGCAAAACCCCGTGTCTACTAAAAATACAAAACATTAGCCAGGTCTGGTGATGGGTACCTGTAATCCCAGCTACTTGGGAGGCTGAGGCAGGAGAATTGCTTGAACCCAGTAGGCAGAGGTTGCAGTGAGCCAAGATTGTGCCATTGCACTCCAGCCTGGTCACAGAGCAAGGCTCTGTCTCTCAACAAAGAAAAAAAAAGGAATTAGGTCACATCACCTTTAAAACCTTCTTGTGACTTTCCAATACACTCAGAGTAACTATACTCAGCTCCTCCCCACCGTCCCCTCCTTCCTGGGGATGGCATCCCAGTTATAATTTTTCCTTCCTAGCTAGGGGCAGTGAGGTTTGGGCCTCCCACATTCTCTGTTCTACACAAGTGCAAACACAAACTTTCTTATCTCCTACAGCATGCCAAGCATACTTTACAGAATGTCCTGTGTTTTTGTGGCTGACAATTGAAGTGGTTCATGTTCCTTCCACTCCACACACACCTCTGCCCTTTACCCTGATTAAGTTTTCTTCATAGAATTTCTCGCAGGTTGGCATATTTATTGTCTGTCTCTCCCTGCTTGAGTCAGAGAGTTTTGCCTGCTGGGCACATGGCAAGTGTCTAGTAAATACAGCAGAATGGAGCCTTCCCTGGCCCCCATGACACTTCACCTCAACTGACTTGTTCACGTGACCCAGGGCCAAGGTCATTGCCCGACACCCTCTCCCTCCGCCTGTGTGCTCTGCAAGGTCATCCTCCGTGGTGTCTACACAGGCTCCCCAGCAGTGGTCCCCAGGCTGGGCACAGAGGAGGTGCTAGTAGATGTTGATGTGCTTTCTCCACAGGCACAGCCACTTCCTGCCTCCTGAGGACTCCTTTGCCTGCATGCCTGCAGGAAAACTGGACATGAATGGCTGCCCCCTGTACCCCTCCCCTGTAGGGTGGCCAGATGGGGTCCTGAGCCCTGGCTGTGTGCCTGGCTTTCCTGGATATCAGGACTTCCAATAAATAAAGACTGTGTATACTGGGCATTGATTGCTGCTATCTGTCCTGAGAGGGCCCTAGGAGAGCTGGCTGGGCAGAGTCATGTGTTACCCAGCTTCACCGGGTGTGCCAAGGAAGGGCCAGGGAAGAGCAGGATTCTGCGGCTGTGCCCCAGGGTCGAGACCACCTGCCTCCCTTGTGAATTCTGCCACACAGCCATTTCCTGTCTCCTGCTGCATGTGTATGGGGGAAAGGCCCTTGCTCCCTTCAACTCTAGCATTCCTCTGTTATTCTTTAAATATATTTTAAAGACAGGGTCTTGCTCTGTTGCCCAGGCTGGAGTGCAGTGGTACGATGATAGCTCACTGCAGCCTCGAACTCCTAGGCTCCAGTGGTCCTCTGCCTCAGCCTCCAGAGTAGCTAGGACTACAAGCACTTGACACAGCACTGGCTGCGTTCTCCAAGTCTGTATTCAGTTTTCTGGAGGCTTGGGGGTATGATAAATAAATACCTCTTTCCCTGCTGATTTCAGAATCAGTTGGGCAGTAGTTCGAGGCATTAGGCAATGGAGGAGAAAATACTTGCTTTATTACTGAAAACAACTATATGGAAGAATGTGTGGCTTAGAAGGCTATGCACTGGATTTCTTTTCTTTCTTTCTTTTTTTTTTTTTGAGATGGAGTTTCGCTCTTGTTGCCTAGGCTGGAGTGCAATGGCACGGTCTTGGCTCACTGAATCCTCTGCCTCCTGGGTTTAAGTGATTCTCCTGCTTCAGCCTCCCAAGTAGCTGGGATTACAGGTGCCTGCCCCCATGCCCAGCTAATTTTTGTATTTTTAGTAGAGATGGGGTTTCACCATATTGGTCAGGCTGATCTCAAACTCCTGACCTCAGGTGATCTACCCACCTCAGCCTCCCAAAGTGCTGGCATTACAGGCATGAGTGACCACCTGGCCTATGTGCTGAATTTCTGTTCTCAGTTTCCATTTTTCCAGAAGCCAACTCAGAATTTGAGTGCAGATGGTAGTTTAAGTTTGATTCCATCAACACTGGGAAAGGAATGGAGAAGGGAGATGTAGAGAGGAAGGCGGCCAATAAATGGTGCATTATCAAGCAAGTTACCACTGTTGGCAACTGGGACTCAGTCCCACTGGCAACCTGTGGGAGACTGTATAGAACATACCCAGTTACCCTATGAAGGAGCAAGGGAATTGTGTTTACCAACTTCCCATCTGTCATCAAGGGCTGTTTTCATGGGCATTGACCATCTGGTAGTTCTGGCCTGCCCTTCATAGGCCAAGTTCCTTTCTGCCATCAGAAAAGAGTCTTAAGCAGAGTATAATGGGATCAGGTAAGCAACCTTAAACATACAGAAGAGATGCTGAGTGGATCTGGGAAGATACCAACAGTGACTGCTGCGGCTTCTTCATGCTTCGCAGGAATACAGGCTCCATGGGCACAGCTGTTTGATACAGGCTCCCCATAGGGACAGGTCTTAAAGAGCAGAAAGCAGACAGACATGTATGCAACAGAGAGAGACCTCAGAGGGTTGAGCTGAACATACCCATGGCCTGCACCCACATTCACCATTCAGATGAGGCTCTCCTCCCTGGAGGTGATCCCAAACTTCTGGAAAATGGAGTAACTGGCCATTTGATATCCAAGGGTTATGCTCTGCTTGGAAGAATAAGCCTGGCCCATGGGAGTCTCTCCTAGAGATTAATCTCCAAGATGAAGTTGCTAATTGGTTTAGGAGCCAGGTAGAAATCCTGTAAATTCAGGGTTGCAGGAATTTATACCATTTGTCTGAGCTAGGAGGAAACCCAGGTAGCTTGAATGGGGTTCTGTGCCATGCAGCTAAAAGAAGTGTGATTAAAACAGACAAAATGGAGATCCAGGCTACATTTTAGAACATCTCTATGTGTCCTCTCTTAACAATAGGCTAGACTAGCTTTCTTATATGATGGTCTCAGCAGTCCAAGAGAGTGAAAGTGGAAACTTCAGACATTCACTTTTACCACATTCTATTGGTCAAAGAAGTCATAAGCCCAGCTCAGATTAAAGAGGTGGGGAGACAACTTCTTGGTAGCATTTGGCTGCAAAAAAATTGTGCCCATATTTAAACTACTACAAGAACTTCATGGTGTCTCTTCTTGTGTCTGTTTTGGTAAATTGTATGTTTTTAGCAATTTCTCACATTGCTGTGGTTTGAGTGGGTTCCCTAAATTTCATGTGTTGGAAACGTAGTCCTCACATTCATGTTGATGATATTTGAAGGTGGGGTCTTTGGGAGGTAATTAAGATTAGACAAGGCCATCAGGGTGGGGCCACCATGATGGGACTGGTGGTTTTATAAGAAGAGGAAAAAAGACCTGAGCTGGCCTGCTCTTGCCCTTTCACTATGTGATGCTCTCTGCCATATTATGATGCAGCACGAAGGCCCTCACCAGATGCAGGCACCATGCTCTTGGACTTCCCAGTCTCTAGAACTATAAGAAATTTCTTTTTAGTAAATTATAGTATTCTGTTATAGCAACAGAAAATAGACTAAAACATCCACATTTTCAAATTGCCATCAGCTTGTTAATAATATTCTCACAATATCTTTTTTTTTTTTTTAAAGGCTAGTCAAGTGAAGCAGTGGGAGTGGAGAAGGAACAAAGAAATCTGTAACTGGTTGTGATCAATTAGTTGTAAACACCACTGCACTTGTACCAGCATCATAGTGTCTTTTTAAGGTTTGTAGAATCTATGGTGATAACCCCCTTTTCATTTCTGACATCAGTTCTTTGTATGCTCTTTTTTTTATCTCGATTGATTTTGAGGGGAGTTATCAATTTTATCAATCTTCACAGAAATTACATTTGGCTTTGTTGACACTTGATTTTGTACGTTTGTTTTTAACTAGTTCTCTTATTCTTTCTTTACATTTAATTTTCTATCTTTTTGAAATGAATGTTTAGCTTACTGGTTTTCAGCCTTTTTTCTTTACTAATGCACAAAGTGTGGCTTTGTGGGTTGTTTTCTTTTTTTCAGGATATGTTATTTTACTTGTCCCATAACTGTGAAAAAATAACAAATCATTCTTCAAAACAGCAGATAAAATAACTACAGTAACAAAACCCATGAGTGCATTGCTGTAACGTAGCCAACAGCCATGTTTCCTTCCTGCCATCTCTGCCGACAGTAGTCCTGCTCGTTGAAGGTCTTTTTCTTTCCTCCTTTTGCTTATTTTCCCTTCTCTACTCTCTTTTGATTTCTTCATTGACCTCAGATTATTTAGAAGTTTAGAGTCATATTTCTTAATTTCTAAACAGAAGGAGAGTTATTTTTTTGTTATCTTGCCTAATTGAAGTTGGGCTGGGAACATTTTATATGATTTTACTCTTTTGAAATGTGTCGAGCCTTTATGGCTTGGCATATGCTCAGCTTTCGTTAATGTGCCATATGTGCTTGAATCATAATCCTTCGTTCATGATGCACTGTCTTAGCTCAGGTTCCCCTAGAAACAGACCCTGGGGCAAAATTCAGGTTGATCCTAGTAAGCATTATTAGGGCAGTGGGAAGGGAGACAGGGACAGTTGTCTTGAGTAGAATTTTCCTCAGTGTTTTAACAGGTGTCAGAATAATTTTTTTAATGGCCCTCCATATTTCTACTCTTTTTTCTTCTTTACGTGGACTCTGCAGGTTTCCTTCTTCCTCTGGCTATTCTTCCACCGTCTCCCACCCAGCCATGACAATGATTTTCTTCAAGGCTTATACCAGGCCTCTTCTTATTCTCTACTCTGTGCAGTGATCTCCTTCATGGAGAATTTCAGATAAATCATTGGTTCACAGATGGTTATCTCCAGCCCCAGCTTCTGCCTTGGGCTTTCACCTGCTTCCATGACCTTCATATAGATTTCTCAAAGGGAACGCTCCGTCCCAAGGTGTCCAGAATTGCAGGCATTATCTTCCCCAGCTTGTCTTTCTCACACCATTTCTTTGCACCTTGCTCCTGCAGAAGTCTGGTATTGTTATTGTTGTTGCTGTTCTTTTCCCTAGAAGGCCTCACCCCGTCTTAAGCCTGGGTATACAATTTCCTTTTGTTCACTATATATGTATTTATTTAATGTTTGTGATGGGGTCTCACTTTGTCACCCAGGCTGGAGTGCAGTGGTGCGATCTCGGCTCACTGCAACCTCCACCTCCTGGGCTCAGATGATCCTCCCACCTCAGCCTCCTGAGTAGCTGAGACTACAGGCACCAGTCACCACGCCCGGCTAATTTTTGTCTTTTTAGTGGAGACAGGTTTTTACCATGTTGTCCAGGCTAGTCTCTAACTCCTGAGCTCAAGAAATCTGCCTGCCTTGGCCTCCCAAAGTGCTGGGATTACATGAGTGAACCACCATGCCTAGCCCTTTTTGTTTATTTTAAAGCTGAACTGAGGACTCAATTAATTTTGTTGTAGTCTTGTCTGGTGAGGGGTGATTCTTCACCCTTGCTGCCGTCCCTCACTCTTTCTGTTTTCTTTTTCTTTTCTTTTTTTATTTTTATTTTTGAGATGGAGTCTTGCTCTGTCGCCCAGGCTATAACCTCTGCCTCCTGGGTTCAAGCAATTCTCCTGCCTCAACCTTCCAAGTAGCTGCGATTACAGGCATCCACCACCACGCCAGGCTAATTTTTGTATTTTTAGTAGAGACGGAGCTTCAGCATGTTAGCCAGGCTGGTCTTGAACTCCTGACCTCCTGATCCTCCTGCCTCAGCCTCCCAAAGTGCTGGGATTACAGGCATGAGCCACCACGCCCAGCATTCTTCCTGTTTTCTAAATATGCAGTCAGTCATTTAGATCTCGTTACCTGTATGAATAAAAGCCTTTCATGCCAGCTGCATTCTTCAGGCTTTTAACTTCTTGCAGTTCACCAATTACATCTAGTTACATCTGGATTCCTGCACCATTGCAGATGTAAAGCAGGAGAAAAGAAGGATTTTGTTTTCATCTCTTTTTTTTTTTCTGAGACAGAGTCTCACTGTTTGGGCCAGGCTGCAGTGCAGTGGTGTTTTCTCA